CATTGCTAGATTGTATGGTATTTCTAATTTTAAGTTTTTGAAGAACCTTCATACTGTTTTCCATAATGGTTGTACCAATTTACATTTCTGCCAACAGCGTATGAGGGTTCCCTTGTCTCTACTTTCTCACCAATACTTGTTATTTTTTGTCTTTTTAATAAGATCTAATCTGATAAGTGTGAGGTAATATTTCATTGCAGGGTTTTTTGTTTGTTTTGCATGAAACCAATGATTTCATTTTTTTTAAGTTTTTATTTTAGTCACCCAGCACTCATCACTACAAGTACACTCTTAGTTCCCATTCCCTATTTCACCCATCCTCCCAACCATCTCCCCTCTGGTAACCATCAGTTTGTTCTCTCCAGTTGAGGATCTTGTTTCTTAGTTTCTCTTTTTTTTCCCCTTTGCTAGTTTGTTTTGTTTTTTAAAATTCTACATGAGTGAAATCATATGGTATTTGTCTTTCTCTGAATGACTTCTTTCACTTAACATTATACTCTCTAGCTCCATCCGTGTTGTTGCAAATGGCAAAATTTTGTTCTTCTTTATAGCTGAATAATAATCCTGTGTGTGTGTGTATGCGTGTGTGTGTGTATGCGTGTGTGTGTGTGTGTGTATACACAGATACCACATCTTCTTTATCCATTCATCAATCAATGGACACTGGGGCTGCTTCTGTATCTTGACTATGGTAAATAATGCGGCTATAATCATAGGGGTGCATGTATCCCTTTGAAATAGTGTTTTTGTATTATTTGGGTAAAATACCCACCAGTGTGATTGCTGGATCATAGGGCAGTTCTATTTTTAACTTTTTGAGGAAGCTCCATACTGTTTTCCAGAGTGGCTGTACCAGTTTGCATTCCTACCAAGAGTGCATGTGGGTTCTTTGTTCTCCACATCCTTACCAACACTTGTTGTTTCTTCTGTATTTGATTTTAGCCATTCTGACAGGTGTGAGGTGAAATCTCATTGCAGTTTTGATTTGCTTTTAATAAGTGACAATGAACACCTTTTCATGTGTCTGTTGGCCATCTGTCTGACTTCTTTGGAAAAATGTCTATACAAGTTCTCTACCCATTTTTAAATCAGGTTGTTGTTTTTTTTTTTTTTTAAGATTTATTTATTTATTTTAGAGAGAGAATGTGCACGTGAGTGGGGGGGAGGGAGAGAATCTTCAAGCGGACTCCTCGATGAGCATGGAGCCTGAGGTGGGGCTTAATCTCACGACCCATGAGATCATGACCTGAGGTGAAACCAAGAGTTGGGACGCTTAACTGACTGAGCCACCCAGGTGCTCCAATCAGGTTGTTTGTTTCTTTTAACACTAAGTTGGATAAGTTCTTTATGTATTTTAGATATTAACCCCTCACTGGATGCACGTTTTGCAAACATATTCTTCCACTCAATAGGATGTCTTTTCGTTTGGTTGATGGTTTCTGTGCAAAAGCTTTTTTGTTTGATGTAATCTCATTTGTTTACTTTAGCTTTTGTTGCCTTTGTTTGAGGAGACTGGTCCAAAAAAGTACTAAGAATGGTGTCAAGAGCTTACTGCCTATGTTTTCTTCTAGGAGTTTTATGGTTTCAGGTCTTACATCCAAGTCTTAAATCGATTCTGAATTTACTTTTTATATGGTACAAGATAGTGGTCCAGTTTTATTCTTTAGCGTGTAGCTATCCAGTTTTCCCAACATCATTTACTGAAGAGATTGTCCTTCCCCATTGCATATTCATGGCTTCTTTGTCTTAGATTAATTGGCCATACATGCGTGGGTTTATTTTTGGGCTCTGTATTTTATTCTACTGATCTATGTCTCTGCTTTTGTACCAGTATCACACTGTTTTGATTAATATAGCTTTGTAGTATAGTTTGAAACCAGGGAGTATAGTACCTGGTATAGCATAGAGTATAATTTTTTATTTAAATTCAATTTAGATAACATATAGATTATTAGTTTCAAGGGAAGAATTTAGTGATTCATCAGTTGCATATAACACCCAGTGCTTATTACATCAAGTGCCCTCCTTAATGCCCATCGCCCAATTACCCCACCCTTCCATCTCCTCTCCAGCAACCCTGTTTGTTCCCTAGAGTTAAGAGTCTCGTATGGTTTGCCTCACTCTGTTTTTTATCTTATTTTATTTTTCCTTCCCTTCTCCTATGTGCATCTGTTTTGTTTCTTAAATTCCACATAAAAGTGAAATCATATGGTATTTGTCTTTCTCTGATCGACTTATTTCGCTTAGCGTAATACCCTCTAGTTCCATCTGCATTGCTGCAAATGGCAAGATTTTGTGCTTTTTGATGGCTGAGTAATATTCCTGTGTGTGTGTGTGTGTGTGTGTGTGTGTGTGTGTGTGTACATCTTCTTTATCCATTCATTTGTTGATGGACATCAGCTTTGTTCTTTTTCAAGACTGCTTTGGCCATTTGGAATCTTTAGTGGTTTCATACAAAGTTTAGGATCCTTTGTTCCAGTTCTGTGAAAAATGTCATTGGTATTTCGATAGGGAGTTTACTGAATCGGTATATTACTTTTGGTAGTATGGATATTTTAACAATATGAAATTCTTCCGATCCATAAGTATGGTGTATCTTTTATTTGTGTCGTCTTCAATTGCTTTCACCAATGTCTTACAGTTTTCAGAGTACAGGTCTTTCAATTCCTGAGTTAAATTTATTCCTAGGTATTTTATTATTTTTGATGCACTTAAAATGGGATTGCTCTCTTAAATTCTTTTTCGGATAGCTCACTATTAATGTAGAAAAATCCAATGAATTTCTGTGTGTTAATTTCATACCCAGTGATTTTACTAAATTCATTAGTTCTAATAATTTTTTTTGGCAGAGTCTCTGGGTTTTCTATATATATATAGTATCCTATCATCTGCAAATAGTTTCACTTTTTCCTTTCAAATCTGGATGATTTCTATTTCTTTTTCTTGCCTGATTGCTGAGGCTACCAGTACAATGATGAATAAAAGTGGCAAGAGTGGGCATTCTTGATCTTAGAGGAAAAGTTTTAAGCTTTCCAAAGTTGCATATGATGTTAGCAGTAGGTGTGTCATATACAGCTTTTATTATGTTGGGGTACATTCCTTCTATACCCATTCTGTTGAGAATTTTTAATCATAAGTGGATGCTGAATTTTGTCAAATGCTTTTTCTGCATCTACTGAGATGATCATATGATTTTTATCCTTTTTGTTAATGTGGTGTATCACGTGGAACTATCTGCAGATGTAGAACCATCCTTGCATCCTGGTATAAATCCTGTTTTATTATGGTATATGATCCTTTTAATGTATTACTGAACTGAGTCTGCTAATATTTTGTTGAGAATTTTTGCATGTATGTTCATTATGGATACTGGACCATAATTTTTGTATTTAGGGTATCTCTGTCTGGTTTTGGTATAAAGTGGTAGCATTCCTTCCTTTTCAATTTTTTGGAATAATTTGAGAAGGACAGGTACTAACTCTTGTTGAAATGTTTGGCAGAATTTACCTATGAGCTGTCCGGTTCTGGACTTTCATTTTTGGGGGAGTTTTAAAATTACTGATTCAATTTCATTACTTGTAATCAGTCTACTCAGATTTCCAATTTCTTCACAATTCAGTCTTAGAAAGTTGTGTGTTTCTTTTTTTTTTTTCTTTTAAAGATTTTATTCATTTGACAGAGAGAGACACAGCAAGAGAGGGAACACAAGCTTGGAGAGTGAGAGAGGGAGAAGCAGGCTTCCTGCCGAGCAGGGAGCCCGATACGGGGCTCGAACCCAGGACCCTGGGATCATGACCCGAGCCGAAGGCAGACGCCCAACAACTGAGCCACCCAGACTCCCCGAAAGTTGTGTGTTTCTTGGAATCCACTTCTTCTAATTGTTCATAGGGTCCAATTTTATGTTTAATTTCTTTTTGTTAAGTATTTCCTGTAATTTCTCTATATTAAGAATTTGCCATGACACTTGAAGACAGGCCAGGTAAACAATATAAATAGAACAGTTGTACTTATGACAGAATGAGATAATCTAATAAAACCGTAACTCACCTCTAGTATGGAAAAATTAAATTGCAAAATGACAGTAGCTTAAGACTTATGATATTTTACTTGTTACTCTTTTTCTGTTCAAAATCTAACTCCCAATAAAGTTAGTTCCATTAACTTTTTCACAATGCGTAAGTATTTAAAAGGAGATGATGAATATACCTTTGTACACTTGGATAAGTATATGTGTAGGATTCTAAATTCTTATAAGTGGATTTGCTAAGAGAAAGATTTTTTGTAGTTAAAATATTGACAAATATAGCCACACTGACATTCGAAAGCTTTGCATCCATTTCTGATCCTACCAAAAGTGTGGCAAGTAGAACATGGTAGTGTCCTTTACATTGCCAATTATTTTCCTAATTCCCCACCTCCTTAAGTTAAATGTTTCAATCTCCATAATCAACAATTAACAATGGAGAAGTTATTGAGATATGGATAATTATTTACTGAAACAAGTATAAATTACTAAAGCAAAAGATCTTAAAATGAATTTGGTGTACTTTTATCTGACCAGTTAATTTATTCATTTGATAAAAAACTGATAACCTGACTAGATGAAAGAAAAGATACTAACAGAACTAATTTCTAAAACTTTCTTGCCTTTTTCATCCATAAACCTTTCATAATAGAAGTTGGCATATTTTGAGACGTGTAAATAAAAGGTACTATAAAAATAAAAAATACTACAACTGGGGCACCTGGGTGGTTCAGTCAGTTAAGTGTCTGACTCTTGATTTTGGCTCAGGTCATGATCTCAGGATCGTGAGACTGAGCCCCATATTGGGCTCTGTGCTGGGTGAGGAGTGTGTGCTTAAGATTCTCTCTCTCCCTCTGTTCTTCCCCACCCATCCCCTTCCCCTGTGCATGCAAGTGCGTGCGCTCTCTCTTAAAAAACATATGAACAAAAAACTACTACTAAAAAGAGAGGAAAAAATTTAAATTTCAATACTTACAATCATCTAGATCTAGAAGTGAAACATCTTTGGTAAGAGGATTTCTATCTTGCTTTGTTTTTTTTTTTTCATTCTCCTATAAATAAGAAATATTTAATTTATTGCACATGCTATTAAAAAAAAACAATCAAGTAGTTCTCAATGTTTCAAAACAAACATTTTCTCCGCCAAGGAAAAAAAATCAAATTAAGCTTTCTGTATGGTTATATGTACTGTATTTTTTAATCAAAATTTTTATTTTAGTTATAGCATACAGTATTTTCTTCTCCACCGTGCAAACTGTTATCTTAAAATGTTTTATTTAAAGATTATAAAGGTCCATCAGAAGAAAATTTAAAGGTAAATAGTTATTTTGTGATCTGAGAACTTTTCCTAATACAAAAATGAAAAATGGTTCTTTGGCAGAAAGCCTACAAACACTTTGAAAATAATTTTTAAGCAAGTTGGTTTAAGAAAAAGAATTGCTCAGGGTGCCTGGGTGGCTCAGTCGGTTGAGGGTCTGCCTTTGGCTTAGGTCATGATCCTGGAGTCTCGGGATTGAGCCCCAGGGATCCCTGCTCAGGGAGAGTCTGTTTTTATCTCCCCACCCCACCCCCAACGACTCCTGCTCTCTCACGTACTCTCTCTCCCTCAAATAAATAAATTCTTAAAAAAGAAAAGAAAAGAAAAAGAATTACTCAAACAATACAATTAGCTTGGCTCTGAAATTGTCAAGAGGCTTGTGATAGATTAGCTTTTCTGAGATATAGTTTGTGACAGGCACTGTACTAGATAGTTTATATTTCAACAGTGGGTTGCATCAGACTTCTTTAGCCAAAGGCATTCATTAAAATCTACAAATGACATTTTCAGGCTCTTGCTCTTAAGGGATGAAAAGTATTCATTTACTTTCTTCACTGTTTTCCTTTGGGGTAAATATTTCAAAACATATCTGCACATATTTAGGGTTTTCTCTACCTCAGGTTTGCTTATTAGATCTACTGTACTTTTAAAATGTGGATAATCATGAACTAGAAAACAGTATCCCTAAGCCTGAGGTATTCAGTTTAGCCAGAGATTCAGAAAAGATGTGACAAATTAAGTACAGTAGTGAGTAGCATTATAAACAAGGATTGACAAAGATTAGGGCACTAAATAGATGTATTTGGATCGGGGTGCCTGGGTGGCTCAGATGGTTAAGCATCTGCCTTCAGCTCAGGTCATGATCCCAGGACCCTGGGATCGAGCCCTGCGTTGGGCTTTCTGCTCAGTGTAGAGCCTGCTTCTTCCTCTCCCTCTGCTATTCCCTCTGCTTGTGCTCTCTGGCTTTCTCTCTGTGTCAAATAAATAAAATCTTAAAAAAAAGAAAGATGTATTTGGATCAAAGTTACTTATCTTTATAATCTATACTTTTTATATTAAATCTTCTCAAATTAAAGGCCCAAACTTAAGTTTTTGCTAAAATGTTCTTGTTCATTTATTCAATCCTTCATTCATCCAACAGACATGCATAGACTTTTTAATACATATCAGATTTGGTGCTAACCAAAGGAAGTAATACAGACAAGGCATAGTTCCTGCCTTCAGGTAACTTATAATCTAATAAAGGAGTTTACAGCTTATCTCTACATATTATTACAAGTATTTTTGAAGTATTCCTCTAACCATACAAAGGTCTCACTAAAGCTAAAGGTACCTTACCATCATTTAAAGTCTACAGCATGTCAGAGCTCTTACAACAGCGCAAATACATGAATAAGAGTAATACATCAAATTACATGTTAGGTAACATTTTAAAATGATCTTAAGTTCTGCTAGTTTTTTTCCTTACGCCAAAACTAAAAACAAATTATTTTCAAGTCTAATACAATAATACACATTACAACACTAAATACTGATTTTCTTCATGAGAATAATTATTTCTCACACTAAAAACTTCAAATTATCTAAATGGGTTTTAATTTTCACTCATTCTTTAAAAACAAAGCAAACAATATTTGTTTCTCTTTCCACACCTAAAATGAAAAACAATTTCTAGGGTTGGGAAAAAATATAGAAGAAATGTTAGTTTTGAAGCTGGAATTTAAAAGTGGCAATAATAGAAAGAGGTTCAGAATGAAAATGCCATTTCAACTAGACTATCATTCCTGTGAAGAAAGAACATAACAAAAAGAGCTTAACAACATGTGACTTATCAAAATACTATGCTGAGCACAATGGGTATAACTTCCTATAAGCTACGATGGTGCACGACTGTTTTTATGCAACTGTAACCTTCCCACCTGAAAAATTAGAAACCTATCAAATCAAGATAAAGTTAAAGCTGGAAACAAGTCTATACCTTATTTTCTACTTCACAGCTAAGAGTGTGTAACAATATCTATTAAATACACATCAGGTCACATACAACACAGGACAGAGCTGCATGTGAAATTGACATAATCTCTTATTAGAAAACGAAAACAGAAAGAAAAAAGGCTCTCAAAACGACAGAATTTCATTGACTTTCTGAGAAGAGCAAATAACCGGTGACTGAAATACAACATTAGCAATAGATAACGGTCATTTCTACTGAATTGAAAAAGCCCTGCATTCCAAATCAAGGCTATAAAAAGCTTCGTGATGTGTTTGGCATTCCTCTCTTATATTTTATTTCATTTTTCATTTTAAAAAATCCACAGTAAGTTCAAAACATTTTCATACTTAAAGGATCTACTATAAAAATAAAAATCTGAATTCTAAACAAAGAAGTTAAGAGCCCTATTCCATCAAACATTTCTCCATTTGCAATTCATCTTGGTAATAGAGACAGAACCTGGGTAAATGCATATAGGACTTGAGGCAGGAGATTTTTCTTGCTCAATGCATAATTCATGTGCTCCGCCTGCAAAGTGTGTAAAATGAGAATTTCACACCGCAGCATGAGCCATGGAGCTGCAGAGAAAAGGCAGATGAAATCATATTTTACTGTGTGAATTTTATTTCTTACACTCCCAATATTTATACAAAACCATCATTGACAAACCAAACACACTGACAGATCACCCACTGTTTCCATTGTGTTAGTACTTGAGAAGAGATCAGGCAGAAAGATAGACAATTTGTTTTTGTATATTTTTTTAAATAGAGGATTAGGTTTTTAACAGCTGAGTGACTGTATTAGACTTTTATAAGGACAACAGTAACTGATCTTAAAATCTCACTACAAAAATACCCAGTTATCAATTCATCACCCTCAAATCTCCATTTTGTTTCCATGGTATTCGATTATACACCTCAACACATCAACATTTTCAAAATAAAATACAAAGTCACAGGGTATATTTCATTTCAAGTAATAAATAAAAGATCCTGGAAATACTTATTAAGCTCCAAATAATACAAATAAAAATATATAATAATATATCTGTAAAGATTTTTTATGTATTATGCATGTTCATTTCATGCTGATTAAAATAAAAAAGCAAGTAGAAAAAAGCTATGAAACAACAAGCACCAAATATGCTTCCAAAGAGGAAACCATTGTAAGGAAGACTGAAGTTTAAAATGATAAAACAGGGTAAGTGGTATGTAAAGTTTGTCAAACACATATTGTCCTTTGAAATCAACAAAAATTCAAGGCTTATTTCTAGCCTCACAGGGCAAAATATTTGCACGAAATATTTTCAGTTAGAATTATCAACCAAGGACAATTTAATGACTCTCTTGCCTTCAAGTCATCTAACAAATCTGATTTAAAAAATCTGACGCTCACACTTACACCCGGCTTTAAAACAAAAGTATGTTGCCAGTAAATTGAGACTTCTTTATAAGTCAAAAGTAGTCCAACTATTAAACAAATCCTCCCTATTAGATTACACCTACTTCAATAAGAAAGCTTCTTAATGGCATTCACGTTGATTTTAAAGATCTCAACTGAAGTGAAATGATATTTCTGTTCTGGAGAGCTTAAAATATAAACTAAATTGGGAACGACATAAATTCAAAGAGGCAAGGCTTTGAACTGTCAGAGTAAAAAACCAATACTCTACAATAGGCACAGAAATTATGTAATAGCAACATACATAAATACTTGTAAAAACACAAGTAAAACTTGTTTTCTATTTCTCAAATAAGGCAGAAAACCAATCAGAAAATAGTTTCTTTCACTCTTATCCACTATCTGTTTCATAGCACATGCCAATTTTATTTCACACCCAACAATCTTTCACAGGGCAGATCTTTTACTAAGGTGTATCTTAACATTTACTAATGTCTGGACAGACACCAGTCACAGTAACAGTAACTGGTCTATAGAGCATTTATGAGACTTAATCCCTCCCCAAAACAGACTAGTAAAGTCTTTAGAAATCCATGTAACCTGTGATAAAGATTACTGACAGCATCTTAAACACTGCTATGCATATATAGGTAGTACTGTTTTTCTTCACATCTAGTACATATATTAATCTTAACTTTGATTCAAATAGAAAATGCTAATATGAAATGTTAAGTCAAGTATGTTATATATGTTTATTTCCAGTGACAAATTATGCTTTACACACACTTACTATAATTAAAATGTTGCTAATATTTACAAAGAAAATGCATAGACGTTAAGCATAATAAATTATAATCATGGTTTAAAATTTTTATCATTTAAATCAAAGATTATTTAAATCTTTGGCAGCTGGTACACAGACACTGAAGATAAAATCAGAACTACTGTATCACAGTTAAGGCATGAAGAATGGACTAACATGGTGATAGTGGAAAGAATACTGCCTCGTTTTAAAAACATCAAAGCCTAGATTCAATTAAAACAACTCAAAAGTCTGGTAACTTTTTAAAAAACATTATTTTAAATAATATTGTAACCATCTGTTCAACACATAATTTTAACTACAAGCAGAATATAACTTAATTATATTGGTAAAATATAGGGAAAAGTGATATAAATGTGAATCTCTTCCTGATACAACGTGGTCTACATTATTGATTTTCCTTTTCATTCTTCTGTGTTAGAAAAAAATGGTTCCCTTTACATTGTGTAAACTATGGGAAAGCACTTAAAATATGGAACTACAAAAAGTAATTTTGTTATAGGTATTATTTGGGGCAAAAGAACTATTTCATAAGAAGGGTTAGACTTAAAATATTTTTCTATCAAATATATTTCAGAAAAGAACACCTACTAACAAAAATATGCTTGCCCATCTAAAAAAATGTCACTGAAGATCAAGATAATCTTCTTTGGTAATTACTGACAATATCTGATCTAAAATGAGGACATCATCCAATCAATAACACAAACAAACATAACCGCCAGAATGTGTGACTGTATATAGATTTGTTTTATGGTTATGCTGGGGCATGGTGTTGAATGACACACACTTCAAGAACACAAACAATTCAACAGCGATTCTCCCTCTTTTGACTGTCTTTACACCATTCACATGAGTAATACCTTCTCATCAGTAACATTTTTTATTCCATGCAGTCATTCTCAACTGGGAGAGACTGGAGAGACTCCAGTTCCTCCAATTGGAAAGCACACAACATGTGAAGAGAACTACAAATATATAGTCCACTGGGATTAGAACACAGGGACCACAAAGGGAATCGAGACCAGAAAGGTAGGTTTGGGCAGGCTAGCCTGCAGATTTCTTACTGAACTAAGATGATAATGGGGCACCATTATGGGTAAATTTAACCTTTTTAAAAAATTTATTTGACAGAGAGACACACAGCGAGAGAGGGAACACAAGCAGGGGGAGTGGGAGAGGGAGAAGCAGGCTTCCCGCAGAGCAGGGAGCCCGACGCGGGGCTCAAATCCCAGGACTCTGGGATCATGACCCGAGCCAAAGGCAGATGCTTAACGACTGAGCCGAGGGTAAATTTAACATTAATCTGACAAGTGTATAGAAGGACTGGAGTTGGGGATCTGAGGATGACCAATGGCAATGGTCTAAGAGTGAGGTAATGAAGAGGTGATCTAGTATGCTGGTAGTAGGAAAAAAAGAAACAGATATGAGAAATAATACAGAGAATCTCTAAGACTTGGCAACTTTGTAAACATACAGGATAAAGGAGGAGTCAAAGATAATTCTGGGGAGATCTGGAAGAATAGAAAGAATGCTAGCACCAAATGGTAGAACAACTCTTCTTCTGGCTGTATCAGGTTTGAGAAACCAGTAGCTCCTAAGAGGTCTAAGAATTTGGTTTGAACTTGGAAAGAAAAGTTAGAGTTGTTATAGGGATTTAGAGATGTTTTTATAGAAATATTTCACATAAATATTTTAGCTAAAGCCACGGGAGTGAATGAGTCTCACAACAGGGAAAAAATGTAGAGAAAAAGACTAAAAAATAAATTGATTCACATCAATTAATATTTCTGAAAAAATGTTGTGTATCAAGCACTAACTTGCGGGCCAAGTTCACACTTGGATGTCAGAGGGCTTAAAAAGTGAAGCAATAAAAGGACTGAAAGGTCAAAGAAGTCAGAAGAAAGGGGGTGCAAGGGGTTTCAAGTAGTAGGGGAATAGTCACATAAGAAGATCAAGAAGGATAATAACCAAGAGAGGGTCACTGGGTTTGGGGAAATATCATGGCTGACTTTTCAGAGAGCAGTATCTGTAGGAAGTGGTAAGAGTGGAAACCAATTTTAAAGGGACTAAGAAATAACTGGGTTAAGAGATTGTGGACAAAGACTGTCTAGATTATTTTTCTAAACTCTCACTCTCACACACTCTCTATTTCTGTCTCTTTCCCCCTCCCTGCTCCTCATCCCCCAAATACTGGGAAAGACGATTAGCAGAGGAGGAAATTAGTGGAGAAAGAGATTGAAGGTGCAAAGGAGGTAGATGATTATCACCAAGGCCAAAAGGAAGTAAGACTTTTTCTTGGCTAAGTGGATAGGAAATCGCTTACTTAGAGCTACATTCAAAGGAAAAGGAGGATAAATAGAGATTGTGTATTAGAGAGCAGAGAGGGGTAGGAGACACCCACAGTGGATGGTAGCTCAGTCCTCTGCAGAAAGGGGTCATATCTGGACATGAACTTATAACTTGAATGGTATAAAAAGAGTCAGAAAAACACAGGAGATATTAAGAGTTAAAAAAATTTTTCAGTTCCTCTATGCATTGGTGTTCTGTAACTCTACCATTGTTGGTCTCTCAGGGAATTAACATTCAAGTTAAAAAATGTTAACACTGCTGTTTTATATTTATATAGTGCTTTACATTGATCTTTCATATTTTTTTATAATAGCACTTGAAAGTAGTAGAGTAGGTATTAGCATTTCTACTTTATAGATGAGGAAACTGAAGCATAAAGATATTATCTTCCAAAAAGTAGAACACTATACCTATCTCACGGGACACCATAAAATAAACTGTTTTCAAAGCTATATATTCAAAGTACCTCCGAGGCCTCATTTTCATGCTCAATATCCCCAAAACACACTATCCAAGTGAAAGAAAAAGAAGAGAAACAGTGAAAGTATAGATTTAGTTTGGCTGCAGATTTAAGGCATATGAGTTTTCAGCACTAACATACTGACATGCTAAATTAAGGTAAAGCAGCCACCATCTGCCTTCATTACTCATAATCTAAAGCAGAAGCCACAACACTTGCCATAAGGAGGATTTCTACAATTACAGAGTTGCCCATTATTAGAAAACTGGTATACATGTAATTGCATGGTTTATTCCAAATCACTCAGAAAGGAATAGGAAAAAATAGTTATGGTGGCTCCAAGGTAGAGAATATTCCAAGTGATAAATTAAAACAAACAATTCTACCTATTATAGACAGGAAAAGGCATTATAATATGGAGAAAATAAGCCATCTACACAAAACACACAGACATAAAACTATCAAGAATGTGAGTAAGATCCAAATTTTTCAAGAGTCTTAGCTTACTACAATACTTTAAAATTTTATACTAAAGTTCTATAGGAAAATATTTTCAATTAAGACATTGATCATTTAAAGTATTTGACAAAGAAACAAACTGAATTGCTAACCTAGGATACCTCTGTGGCTTTTAATGGAGTCCTAAAACCTTTGCTTCTAATACTATGTAGGCATTAAATACAATTTTATAACTTTTATAAAACCTCATAAGAATAATGCACCTTAATTCTACCTAGTTGACATTCACTGATTTCTTGTTTGTTCATTTTCTAAAACACTGATTTCTTATTCTGGGTTGTACTTACTGTCAATTTCTAAAGCTCTTTTATCTTAAATAACATATTAAACTTTTAAAATATATAAGTAGGAAATGAATAATTTGATATAATTTAAGTAGGAAATGAGAAAACATCAAACTCACTATGTGATAAATTTGTGTATGAGGCCAGAGTAATAAACATAAAAATCATTAAGATTTTATGTGAATTTTGGAAAACAGAAATCTTAGATTATATACCATAAACAGACACAAGTTTTAAATACAAATTCATGTTTAAAATAGGTATCACTATATGCAAGAATATTTGTAATAAGGTAAGACAAAAACTAGCCAGTTTTTAAATATGCTTATTCTTTTTTTAAAAAATATGCTTATTCTTTAATAATAAATCTCTGGATGGGGGAAGGCAATTATCTACTTCAATGAATTTATTTTTATCCTTGGCTACTCAGATGACTTATTAAAGAAATTCAAGTTAATAGAAAAAATAAATGGGAAAGATATTAGGTTAAAAAACTGAATTCACTAAAAGGCAGTTTGACCACATTTTTTCAACATATGGGATAAAGTTTGTTTATAAAAACTACTGCATTTGAAGTCTAGGACCCACATGATCCATTTATAGGAAAGGAGTAACAGTTAAAGATCAGAAAGATATACAACATGTCTGAATTTTATATTAATAACTACATTTTTTCAATTTATACTTTTATTTTTCGCTGCTAGGCAGACAAGTTTCAGTGTTACAAATATGACAGAAAGCATTATCATTCTATTACAAGAGTGAATCTTGCATTTGTTTTTAAATACACGGCTATGTAATTTTTATTAACTAGTTAAATAATCTGTATCCTTTAGTTGTACCTTTAAAAATATTCTCTTACCCCAACACCTATTTTTAAAAAGCATTATTCACCTCAATTTCTTATAATGTATATCATTTATATTATCTTGCTCAGTATTATTTGTGACTTCCTTTTACTTCCCCTTTCATGAAAGCCTCCATTGTCACATGCTAGCTCAGAACAAAAAGGGCCATAACTGATAACACTGAGCTCTATAATTTCAGTGGCAAAAGATGAGGTTAAAAAAAGTTTCTGGGGCATCGGCTGAGTGACTGACTCTTGGTTTCGGATCCCGACATGATCTTGGGATCGTAGGATCTAGCCCTGTCAGGCTCTGCACTCAGCACTGATTCTGCTTGGGATTCTCTTCTCCTTCTGCCCCTCCCTGCCACACTCTTGCTCTTTCTCTTTAAAATAAATAAATAAATCCAAAAAAAAAAAACTTTCTAATTTCTCTGAGGGGTTGATGTAAAGAGGAAGCAATTATCTAATTAAAAAAAAGATAAATGAAGACGGTATTTATTTTGTCAGTGACAATGTTAAATTTCTCAATTTCTTGATTTTCAACAAAATACTAATTTTCTTTTTCTTTTTAAAGATTTCATTTATTTATCAGAGAGACAAAGAGAGCACGAGCTGGTGGGGGGGGGAGAGGCAGATGGAGAGTGAGAAGCACACTCACCGCCAAGCAGGGAGCCTGATGCAGGGCTCAATGACCTGGGCCAAAGGCAGATGCTTAACCGACTAAGCCACCCAGGTACCCCCAAAACACTAATTTTCAAAAGTATTTATTCTTAAATGGAAAAAGGCTATGAGAACATTTCCTTTCAATTACAGCAATGTGCAATCTCTTACCTTAGCGATTTTTCTGGATTCAGGTTCACTTTCAGATTCTGATACTGATTCAGAATCTGAAGAACTTTCTTCTTCTGAACTAGAATCAGTGCTAGAAGAATCTGAAGTTTTAGATTTTTCATTTTCCTTCTCCCCATCTTCAGAATAACTGTAATAAATTTAAAAATATCAACTTTAAATCCTTTACAAATGGCAAATTGTTGCTATATGTACATTTTGTCTATAAATCAGAACCTTTACTAGAAGAGTTCACTGAGAACCCGCTGTTTTTAGTATGTAAAAAGACAATAAAAATGGTTTTAAAGTTCCAGAACATATTAATAAAAAAATAAAGATAGTACTATCTATAAACAAATTTATCAGAACCAATTCAAAATCAATTATACTACCACGTCACACATACTTCAAATGCAAAAGGTTATAAAACACAAATGATATAAGTAGAAAATAACTAATAATTAAATGTTTGATTTACCAGGAATATGTATTAGGTGCTAATAGTAACAACTTCAAAGATACATAAGACTGATTTTAAAATGCTGTCTCAAAATACTAAATGTTTACCCATAAATTGAAATATTTACACATGTACTTTTGCTAAAATAGACTCACACTTTACAGATTGTTTTGTCCAAGAAAATTATTTACATGTGTTCTGAAATGTGACCCATAAACGTATCATGAGAAAATGTTAACTAGATCAAAAGAGATTTCTTCTAATGCAAAGTCTTATTAAAAATGTAAGATAATCAAATATAGTTTTTTAAATACCAAACAATTGAGAAGTCCAAGATGGCGGAGGAGTAAGAGACCTTAGTTTTGTCTGGTCCCAGGAATTCAGCTAGATAACTATTAAATCATTGTGAACATCTATGAACTCAACCAGAGATCTAAGAATAACTGCAACTCTACAAACAGAAAAGTGACACTTTCTGCAAGAATGACAAGAGGGAAAAACTCACTTCAAAAAAGAGAACAAGAGGCAGTACTGACTGCCTGGGACCTAATCAGTATGGATATAAGTAAGATGTCTGAACTAGAGTTCGGAATAATGATTATATAGATACTAGCTGGGCTTGGAAAAAGCACAGAAGACACTAGAGAATCCCTTTCTGGAGAAATAAAAGAACTAAAATCTAATCAAGTCAAAATCAAAAAGTCTACTAATGAGATGTAATAAAAAATGGAGGCTCAAACTGCAGGAATAAATGAGGCAGAAGAGAGAATTGTGATATAGAAGAAAAAATAATGGAGAATAAAGAAGCTGAGAAAATAACAGATAAACAACTACTGGATCACGAGGGGAGAATTTGAGAGATAAGTGATATCATAAAGCGAAATACTATTAAAATAACTGGGATCCCAGAAGAGAAAAGAGAGGGGGGGCAGTAGGTATATCAGAACAAATTATAGTGGAGAACTTCCCAAATCTGAGGAAGGAAACAGGCACTCAAGTCCAGAAGGCACAGAGAACACCCCTCAAAATCAATAAAAATAGGTCAACACCCCAACAAAGAATAGTGAAAGTTACAAATCTCAGAGACAAAGAGAAAATCCTGAAAGCAGCTTGGGACAAGAGGTCTGTAACCTACAAGGGTAGAAACATTAGACTGGCAGCAGACCTATCCACAGAGACCTGGTGTGCCAGAAAGGACTGGCATGATATATTGAGGATGCTAAATGAGAAAAATAGGCAACCAAGAATACTTTATCCAGCCACGATGTCATTCAAAATAAAAAGTGATAAAAACCTTCCAGGACAAACAGAAACTAAAAGAATTTGTGATCACCAAACCAGCCCTACGAGAAATATTAAAAGGGATCCTTTAAAAGCAAAGAGAGAGCCCAAAAGTAACACAGATCAGAAAGGAACAGAGACAATATACAGAAACAGTGACTTTACAGGTAATACAATGGCACTAAATTCATATCTTTCAGTAGTTACTCTGAATGTAAATGGGCTAAATGCCCCAATCAAAAGACACAGGGTATCAGACTGGATAAAAAAAAGCAAGACCCATCGATATGCTGTCTTCTAAGAGACCATTACAGACCCAAAAGCACCCCCAGACTGAAAGTGAGGAGGTAGAAAACCATGTTATCATGCTAATGGACATCAAAAGAAAGCTGGGGTGGCAATCCTTATTTCAGACAAATTAGATTTTAGACCAAAGACTATAATAAGAGATGAGAAAGGACACTATATCATAATCAAAGGATCTATCCAACAAAAGGATCTAACAATTGTAAATATTTATGCCCCTAAAATGGGAGCAGCCAATTAATAACAAAATTAAAGAAACACATCGGTAATAATACAATTATAGTAGGGGTCCTTAATACCCCACTCACTGCAATGGACAGATCATCTAAGCAGAAGATCAACAATGAAACAAGGGCTTTGAATAACACACTGGACCACATGGACTTCACAGATATATTCAGAGCACTCCATCCTAAAGCAACAGAATACACATTCTTCCTGAGTGCACATGGAACATTCTCCAGAACAGATCACATACTGGGTCACAAATCAGGTCTCAACTGGTACCAGAAGAATGGGATCATTCCCTGCATATTTTCGGACCACAATGCCTTAAAAGTGGAACTCAGTCACAAGAGGAAATTTGGAAAGAATTCAAATACATGGAGGCTAAAGGCATTCTACTAAAGAATGAATGGGTCAACCAGGAAATTAAAGAATTAAAAAAATTCATGGAAACAAATGAAAATGAAACACAACTGTTCAGAATCTTTGAGATGCAGCAAAGGTGGTCCTAAAGAGGGCAGTACATAGCAGGACAAGCCTTTCTCAAGAAACAAGAAAGGTCTCAAATACACAACCTAACCCTACATGTAAAGGGGCTGGAGAAAGAACAGCAAATAAAGCTTAAACCCAGCAGGTGAAGAGAATTAATAGAGATTAGAGCAGAAATCAATGAAAGAGAAACCAAAAGAGCAGTAGAACAGATCAACAAAATTAGGAGCTGGTTCTTTGAAAAAAATTAAGATTGATAAACCCCTGGCCAAACTTATCAAAAAAAGAGAAAGGACCCAAATAAATAAAATCATGAATGAAAGAGGAGAGATCACAACCAACATCAAAGAAATAAACAATTATAAGAACATATTATGAGCAACTATATGCCATCAAATTAGGTAATATGGAAGAAATGGATGCATGCCTAGAGATGTATAAACTACCACAACTGAACCAAAAGAAATAGAAAACCTGAGCAGACCCATAACCAGCAAGGAAATTGAAGCAGTAATCAAAAATCTCCCAACAAACAAGCGTTCAGGGCTGGATGGCTTCGCAGGGGAATTCTCCCAAACTCTATGGTCAACTAATCTTCAACAAAGCAGGAAAGAATATCCAATGGAAATAAGACAGTCTCTTCAACAAATGGCGTTGGGAAAATTGGACAGCCACATGCAGAAGAATGAAACTGGACCATTTCCTTACACCATGTACAAATATAGACTCAAAATGGATGAAAGACCTAAATGTGAGGCAGGAATCCATTAATATCCTAGAGGAGAACACAGCAACCTCTGTGACCTCAGCCGCAGCAACTTCTTGCTAGATGTGTCTCCAAAGACAAGGAAAACAAAGGCAAAAATGAACTACTGGGACTTCATCAAGATAAAAAGCTTCTGCACAGCAAAGGAAACAGTCACAAAACCAGAAGACAATCGACAGAATGGGAGAAGATATGTGCAAATGTCTTATCACAGAAAGGGCTAGTATCCAAAATCTATAAAAAAACTTATCAAATTCAATACCCAAAAAACAAATAATCCAATCAAAGACATTTCTCCAAAGAAGACATACAAATGGCCAACAGACACACGAAAAAATGCTCAACATCCCTCTGCATCAGGGAAATACAAATGAAAACCACAATGAGATACCACCTCACACTAGTCAGAGTAGCTAAAATTAATAAGTCAGGAAATAACAAATGTTGGCAAGGATGTGGAGAAAGGGGAACCTTCCTACAAGGTTGGTGGGAATGCAAGTTGGTGCAGCCACTCTGAAGAACAACTCAAAAAGTTGAAAATAGAGCTACTCTATGGCCCCACAATTGCACTACTAGGTATTTATCCCAAAGATACAAATGTAGTGATCCAAAGGGGCACCTGCACTCCAATGTTTATAGCAGCAGTGTCTACAATAGCCAAACTATGGAAACAGCCCAGATGTCCATCGACAGATGAATGCATAAAGAAGATGTGGTGTATATATATAATGGAATACTACTCAGCCATCAAAAAAAATTATGAAATCTTGTCATTTACAACAACATGGATAGAACTAGAGGGTATTATACTAAGCAAAATAAGTTAATCAGAGAAAGACAATTATTATATGATTTCAGTCATATGCCGAATTTAAGAAACAAAACAGATCATAGGGGAAGAGAGGAAAAAATAACACAAGATAAAATCAGAGAGGGAGACAAACCATAAGAGACTCTTAATCACAGGAAAAAAACTGAGGGTTGCTGGAGGGGATCGAAGTGGAGGGATGGGGTGACTGGGTGATGGACATTAAGGAGGGTATGTGATGTAATGAGCACTGGGTATTATATAAGACTGATGAACCACTGAACTCTACCTCTGAAACTAATAATACACTATATGTTAATTATTTGAATTTAAATTAAAAGAATAAATAAAAATAAATATTGGAAAACAATAAATGGAGAAAACTGAAAAAAACAAACAAAAACAAAAAAACAAATGATCAAACCTAAATGCTGATGCTACTCACTCATTTGCTCACTCACTCACTCATTTAATAAATATTAACTGACCACCCACCATGGGTTGGCAGTATGTTAGTGCTAAGGATAACAATGTTTAATAAGATATAGATGATCTCTGTGAGTCTCCCTTATAGAATCTACACTGCATTGGGGAATACAGAGAAGATGGCAATGACAAAAAAGTATGGTAAGTAGTAAGTAAGAAAGTATAATATGTCATGAGAGAGCATCTAAACAAAGTTAACCAAGATAGGGAATGCTTCCTAGAGGAAGAAACACCTAAGCTGAGAAATAGGAATAAGGCAGGGAGTAGGGATAGTTTTGAGTAGGGAAGTAGTTCTCCATGGAGAAGGAATAACATGTGAGGTAGCCCAAAGGTCTTTTCTCAAAGAGAGATATACTATGGTCTTCTACATTTTCTCAAAACTGAAGGTCTAGTTCTCTTTCCATGTGTATTTTTTTAAAAAATCCTGTGCCACGCAGTTTTAGAAGCTTCACACCAATTAACTAATTTAGATGTTTCAACATATTATTACTGGGTGTATTATTATCCTATAATATTCAGGAAAGTTAAGTAACTTGCTCAAGGACACATTGTCTGGAGTAGCAGAACTGGAATTTCAACTCAGTTTGTCTTATTCTAAAGACCATATTTCCCCCACTACACCATACTAGCTTCCTTCAAATGAAAACACTCTGGAGTGTAAAACTCAAATTTAATCATAAATAGTTATGACTACTAAAGGGTGGTTTTAAAGAAACCTAAAGCTCCTTAGCTTTAAAAAATTATCACAGAGGGGCACCTGGCTGACTCATTCAGAAGAGCATGCAACTCTTGATCTCAGGGTTCTAAGTTCAAGCTCCACATTGGTTGTAGAGATTACTTAAAAATAAAAGCTTTTATTTTAATTTTTTTAAAGATTTTATTTATTTATTTGACAGAGACACAGCGAGAAGTGAACACAAGCAGGGGGAGTGGGAGAGGGAGAAGCAGGCTTCCCGCAGAGCAGGGAGCCCGATGCGGGGCTCAATCCCAGGACCCTGGGATCATGACCTGAGCCGAAGGCCGACATTTAACGACTGAGCCACCCAGGAACCCCCAAAATAAGAGCTTTTAATAAAACTTATCATATAGCTAAACTATCAAAGTTCAAAAAAAATTCTGAGAGACAGGCAGAAAAACACAGGGGGAGAGAGAGTGGTGAGACAAGGGAAGAATCGATATTTCCTAGAATTGATTTTTGTGGAGGAAATACGATTGCTGTTTATTAAAAATGAAGTCATGGTAACATCTCAGAGCACATGTAATTATATTCGATGACTAAAAAATATGTTGTTTTTTTCCCCGAAGCAAAGAATGGCAATTTATTATCCCCAACTGAATGGTTAAAACATGTACTTAAAAATATAAGGTTTTCAATGTATCCAAGATTCCCTTTGGTATAATAAACAATTCTTTTAAATTAAAACATAGGCAAAGAGAAAACTCCATTTCTGAAGGAAAAAACACACAATGAAACTAATATAAATACACAATTAAAAATTTCTAACATATGGGGCGCCTGGGTGGCTCAGCCGTTAAGCGTCTGCCTTCGGCTCAGATCATGATCCCAGGGTCCTGGATCGAGTCCCGCATCGGGCTCCCTGCTCTGCGGGAAGCCTGCTTCTCCCTCTCCCACTCCCCCTGCTTGTGTTCCCTCTCTCGCTGTGTCTCTCTCTGTCAAATAAATAAAATCTTTAAAATTTTCCCTTCCTGGAAATAAGACACTTTTTATAAACTATGTAATCACAGATATTCTGATATTAAACCAGAAGTACAAAATTTCTCTCAAAGGAAAGGATATTACAGACCAAGTAAATCCTTTGCTGCAACAAGTGAATGATTCTGCATACATTTAACTTACAGCTTTTAAGATAAGATTTTAAAGGTAAAAGTGTTATTTTGTTATGTAGCACTCAATTTTGATGGGTAATTACTGTTTACCTTACTGCTTAGAGTTTCAGATGTTAATCTAATGAAAAGAATTTACTGGTAACTAGCTTTTTAACTTTGCAATGATGAAAAGCCTGTATTAATTTAACCTACATATTTCATTTGTTCTGAACAGGAAAAACAATATAAATCACTTTTAAAATCATTAAATCCTGACTTAAATTAATAAAGTCATAATTAGGGCATTATGCTGTGTTTGTTATGGAAGTGGCAGGGCGAGCTGCTTTAATTACTGTCTGTAATAAAAGGAGCAGAGAGCGTACTGCGCCCCAATCAGTGCTGTCAGCCACGACTGAGCTGGGCTGCAAGCTCATCAAGTAAGCGGGCAGCAGGCTCCCAGGAAAAGGACCATCACGTCTGCAGAGGCCACTCGCTGACAGCAATGGGGAAAACAGACTCATACAATCCAAGGTATTAGCCCCAATTACTCAAAATTTTAATGACACTTTAATACACGATAATGTTGATAATGGGAGATCTTAAAAAGTGCTAACACTTAAATATCTTATGACCGTCTTCCTTCACGGCCCTTGACTCTAATATTTGGATCATAATCTTTTTACTATAACACTATTTAGAAAAATCAATTGTCTTAGTTACATAATGGCAAAGTGTTGAAGGATTTAATTTTAGTCCTCAGCAAAATTGCTACAGAAGGTAATTAAGTGTTTCATACCTACTTCTTGATCACTTAACTCAGCCTTCCAAGGTTATACCAATTTTCAAAATGTAACCCCAAGATTTGTTCAAGTTCAAAACGAAAACTAAGTATAATAAGTAGTAGAATAAATAATGTGAACTAGTATTCTAACTAATTTTACAAGATTCAGTATCTGGGAAAAAATACACTTCTTTTCTTACTCACTTTATGAATTAAAGGGAAATGGTATCCTGGGGGAAAACACCACAGAATATTTTTTGAAGGAAATTCTAACAAAATATTACCTTTTCCCTTTGCTTTTGGAGTTCTTCTTGGCTGTTCTTTTGTCTCCTACTTCTGACGCACTTTCGCTGTCACTCCTATGCTCACTGGAGGTGTCCTCACTGCTGTCCTCACTACTGTCTCCCTCCTCCTCTTGTTCTCCATTTGCACTTTCAGATTCACTCTCTGAAAAAATAACCAGATGCTCCTTGATTTATAGCCATTTAATTAGACATAAGGACCCAAGTAACTGTCAATATTCATCAGAAATGAAACCAGATGCTGAATTTTAGTTTACTGGACCCCACTTGTTCAACACTCTATTTCCACACTCCTGTCATTCAGTCCCCCCACCTCCTAATTCCTGCAGCAGTGTGAGTGTGGGGAGCTTCAAAAGACAGAGGACACACTTTGATAGTAGGGAAAAGCAAAGAAAAGATAAACCAAGTAAACCAAATTTGAGAGAATCTTGCTTTTCAAATCCTTAAGTATCTAGTTGTGGCAAAAAAATTTTTTTTAAGGAATGATATAAGGATAAAGAAATAATTTTTAATTCTTCTGATAGTGAGAAATTTTACTGAGAGAAGGCAAGAGTTGAATCTTCTTAGGTACACATTTTGAGATGGGAATGAACCATCTGAATCATATGTAAAAATTTCTCAATTCAAAAGCAAAAAGCAAAACTACTAATTAAAAATTACTTATTTTAGCGAGTGTAGGATTTTTCCACAGGTCAAAGAGATCAAAGAGATCATAAAATTATACCGTGGAGCTATACATTTAAATGCTTTATGTATAAATTATGGTATACTAGGACTCTCCCCAGAAGTGATATATAGTTTATTTATGTGTATTTTAAACATGTAGCATAATTTTTTACTATTTGAAATGATTATAGGTGCAAAGTACTAGCCTCAATAAGAGGACAAACTGTTGCTCCCATCTATTATCTATCTGATGAAGTGCCCTTAGCCAGGAACATATAATAGGTAAGTAATATCTACTTTATGAGGATCGATTTATGTATCACACAGTGAAAAGCTAGGATTACCTATCTTCTTTTGGAATAGCATGTAGTGGTTAGAAGCATGGGTTTTCAAACAGGAATGTCTGGGTTCAAATCCTAGCTCTGTCACTTATGAGTTGTAAGACTGAGCAAGTTATTCAATCTCTTTGGGTCTTCGTTTCCTTTCCAGCAAAGATGATAATAATATTAGCTACTTTAGAGAACTGTTGTGAAGATTAAAGGATTTGAAACATGTAAAGGTGATTAGGACACAACAGTGCCTGCACATGGTAAGGCATTCATTACTATCAGCTTCTACAAAGGGCAAAATTTACCTTACCCAAATTTTGTAAAACTGCTGAATAGGATATTTTAAATGTGATATGAAAGAAAGTTGTGCACATGTATATATTTACTCAGATAAGTGACTTATCCCTTAAATAAGGAAAAAAAATTATAGCATCTAAGTTACTCTCTCATGTTAATTACATGTGAGTTCAACATGAGTCTTGGTCCAGTTCACTTCAGGAACCACTACTAAAAATTTCAACTTAGTAAAATCCCTCCCCAACCTTTTATTTTTTTTTAAGTGAATAAGTTTTTATTCAGCATTAATTTTATGTCAAAGTTAGTAAAATCTTTGAGGACATCTGTTTATCCTCTAGAAGACTTGCTGACTGGGAAAATACTCTCATAATTTCTAAGGAGAAAAGTTAGCTTTTTCCTCCAGTAGCTAGAGTGGAACTCCGGCCCCATGCTCAGATCAACCCATGAAAAGTCTCAATAAAAATTGCAAATATGTATTTTAAAAAGTTAGCCGATGAACAGGCATGAGCTTATGAATAAAGGGGACGTAGACAAATATCCATATAGTACACTTTTAACTATACAACAGATCTTTCTTAACGATCTACATCATTCTGAAATCTCTTATTTTTTAGTATTAACACTCAACACTTAGTATATTCTCCATTTTCAACTTATCATTTCACAATGTGATGTATCACAGATTAATTTATCAGATACAGGAAACAAAGATTTTAATAGGGGAAACTGAGGAAAAAGTGAATGAATTATCTTAGAGTAAGGTAATACATGACCAAGTGATAGTGAAGAGCTCTGGAAAAAAGGTTATAGAAGAAATAGGTGTCATTTGATCTTGGGTCAGATAGGTCTCTCAGGTTAATTGTTAAAAGAGTGTTGGAAAGTAACTCCAATATATTTTCCATTATGCAAATTGCTCACAGAATTTTAGTACTGAAGGGCTCTTTATTTATTACCTCTTTATTTAACAGACACAGAGAAAGGTAAGTACCTTATTCAGTTGGCATAGCTGAAATGCAGCAATTCTAAATCCTTCCAATTTAGCATTCTTTTCACTATATGGTTGTCTTAATTGTTTTAGCTCTTTGATTCTTTATAATACACAAGAGATTTATTAATTTTAGCTTTACTCTACACAGGTTGATGTAGAAATAAAAGTATAAAATGGATAAAGAACAGATTGCTCAATGTTTAAAATAAACTTTACATTTTTACAGAAGAGAGTTACTTTTAAAGGTCCCACTAAAGGCTTCTCAAATATAAAATCATGTTTTTCAATATGCTATGAATATAACAGGCAGGGTGAGTTAGAATTCAGAAAAGCATGAGTTTGTTTCAACTCTAATTTCTCAGCTAGGTGTTCAAGAGGCAAAGTCAAATGAGAAAGGATTAGAAATTACTTTGAAACCTATACAATGATATGTAAATGAAAGGCATTATCATAATAGAATAGACCCACTTGTTGACTATTATATACTAGGGCCTTATTGTTTTGTTGGAGGCACAGCATATAAACTGTAGTGAACAAAGTTTTTTCAGTGAACTATAAACCCCACCACTGTCACTGCTGCTATCAGAAGAGTCCTCTTCCTCAGATTCAGAATAAAATTTCTTAGCAGAATTCTCTTTCTTTGCTTTTCCTGCTGGAGTCCATTCTTTTGCCTGTTTAAAATAAAAAAAAAAAAAAAGGAAAGCTGTAAATACAAATGAATTCTCATTAAGGGATTCAGTTTTCTGGCAAACAATCATTCAGAATACAATGTGAATCCATAAGAAAGCTGCAGGTCTCAAAAGAGAAGGCAACTGTTAGAAGATCTGACATTAAAGCTGATTCCCCTTTACTCCTAAATAGAGGAACTCAAATCTCACTCAGACCACATTCTGTTAAATCAACAACCTTATTTTACATATACTTTTAAATACTTTTGTATTTGCTGGTCTTCAGGAGATCTGAACTAAAGTAATATGCCCTAGAAGAGGTGAAGGCAGACGCAGTAACAGCGACGAGAAATGCAAGATCATAGCTAAATACTGAGGTTTAAAAGAAAAAACAACAACAACAAAAAAACCCTGAAAAAAGTGTAGGCAATCAACCCTAACTATTTCAAGGGCCCAAACCCTGGGGTAATCTTTGACTTCTCTCTTTCCTTCATATTCTAAACATCTAATCCACAAAAAAAGCTATGAGCCACCTTGGTCCTTTACCATTAGTCAGAGCCATCTTGCTCAGATTACTGCAACTGCTTATTTTGCTTCTACACAGCAGCTAAAATGATTGAATTAAAACTGAAGTCTGATCAAGCCTCTCTTGGTTCTGAAAGCTTGCCACAGCTTACCATTTCACTCAGAAAAAGCCAGTCCTTACAATAATCTGCTCACGCTACCAGACCAGGCCTCGCCCCCTGCCTTTCAGCCCTCTTGCTACTGCTCTTCCTCCGGTGCACTCCGCACAAGGCCCTCCTTACTGTTCCTTCACACATCTCAGGCAAGCTCCCCTACAGGGCCTTCCCATGCTGCCTGCCCTTCCAGTGCTCTCCCCCAGATAGCTGTATGGCTCACACCCTCACTTCCTTCAAATCTCTGCACAAAAGTCACCTCAGAGAGGACCCTGTTTAAAATTCCAACCTCCCATACCTGCACTTCTGATCCTACTTTGCTCTATTCTTTTATCTTTTTGTCATCACAGCACTTACTACTTTCCAACATACTGTACAATTTACGTATTTATTTTTATTGTCAGTCTACCCGTTAGAACATCAGCTTCTGGAGAGCAGGGATATTTGACTACTTTGTACACTGATATACCTCAAAAGTGTCTGGCACAATAATGATTAGTTGTGTGAATAGCTCCTTAAAGACTTTAATACAGTGTATTAAAGTAAAATAAGTTGTTTTCATAATTTGACCTTAATTTATCAAAAAAAATTAAATCATCTTTCATAGACTCTCTGTTAAAGGGTAGAAAAATCTGTATTTTTTAAGAGGTCAAAAATAATTAAGATTCATTTATTTATCAAACTTTCAATTGAGTTTCTACTATGTGCCAGTCTGCTAGAATATATGACAGGGGCTTAAGAACGGTTCTCAACAGTGGACGCACATTAGAATCACCTGGGAACATTTTTTAAAATACTAATACAAAAAAAAAAATACTAATACAAACAAAAAATATACTGAAAAGCTAATACCTGGCATTTACCCTCCTAAGATTCGGATTTCAATGGTTTGCTGCAAGTCTCATATAGGTTTGTTTTGAAGATCTCCATGTGATTATAATATGCAGCTAGGGTTGCAAAGCCCTGATCTAGAGGGCTTTAGGGCTTAAGGTATGTTGCTTAAAAAGATAAGCTTCAATAATTTGGAAAATTACTATATGGACAATAATAATGAGTAAAAATTCCTTGAATATATTTGAATAAGATACATAAGGTCAGCAGTACTGCTTTTTATATATTTTAAAATGCTCTGTCTTGGGGCGCCTGGGTGGCTCAGTCGTTAAGTGTCTGCCTTCGGCTCAGCTCATGACTCCAGGGTCCTGGGATCGAGCCCCGCAGCGGGCTCCCTGCTCCACGGGAAGCCTGCTTCTCCCTCTCCCACTCCCCCTGCTTGTGTTCCCTCTCTCCCTGAGTCTCTCTCTGTCAAATAAATAAATAAAATCTTAAAAAAAAAATGCTCTGTCTTCCAAATATGAATAAAGATACTGTTCTATAAACAAAGTTCTCCTATATTTAGTAAACATTGCAGTTCCTATTTTTTCTTAAATCCTTAAAATAAACATATTTCTCTGAAGTCTGGTAAAAAGTGTGCCAGATCAATGTATGGAAAAAAAAATTACTTAATTAGATGGCTTTAGGGTAAGACCAAATCAACAAGGAAAATTAGGCTTCTATGCTCAAAGGGGCAAATTATCTTGACATGGCCATGAACTCTTTATTCATTGAGTTTTAGGTTTTAAACAATAAAAACATTTTAACTTTTTTATAGTCCTTTATGACTATGATAGTTCTATCATTCTAAGCAAAAGAAATAACAGAGAAAGAGAAGAGGAAGAGAATAGTGAAGGACTAATTTGAAAGGTCCTGGGAGGAATAAAATGTCAAAAGATGTGTTTATAAAAGCAAATACATTTCATATGCAAAAGACAGGCTTTCTCTAAGGGGGAGGATTTTCTAGAACCTGGCAAAAAAATTCTAAAGGATCTTCAAAACTTATTGGTATCATAATATAAAAATATGTTACATCCAATATCCTGGAAATGGTAGTGTGCAATCCTAAGTGACTTCTACTGTCAATCTAACTAGGTTCCCTATCAGATTACCTAAACCTAGGCATTTTTCTTAACTAAGGTTATATTTCATAATAATGAGATGTGACCCTATATCACTTTATGGTAAAACTAGGAAAACAGTATATTATATGCATGAAATACACTGATGTGATTTTGCAGGAGGGGTGGTAGAATAAGAGGCAAGAAAGACTGTAAGGAACACTACTTTCTACACTGTTGCAGCTGCATTTGATATTAAAACTATATTATTTTCATACTTAATTATGTCTCTTACAGTATAATTTTAAGCCAAAATGTCTAGAAACCAGTAGATTAAAACTGTTTTTGTATCGTATCAATGGATAGTGATAGTTTTCTTCAACCAGGTTCCATCAGTTTTAATTATTCTCCATAGTAAGTTACCAATTATTAATTTCTAGAATGCAGTCAGCAAAATGAAAAAGAAATCAATTTGTCTCTGCTGAACTGGTTAGGTGAAATGAACATAAGAAAACAGGTTATCTAAGCACTGTCCCTATAAGGTAGTTATGCTTAGAAGAGCACAAGACAATGGAAGAAGCCAGCCAACCAACCAATCCATCAGCCAATACAAGGATACTGCTGAAACCAAATTAAATTGCATAGCATTGCTATCAATTTCTGGGAAGATAAACTATTTTTATTTTTATTCATTTATTTTTTGGTGGAATGGGGCAGCAAGGAGGAAGGATAGGGTAGAAGTGGGGGGGAGGATAAAAGAATGTTTGTATGCATGCCAAAATATTAAGTACCCAATAATGGAAAAGGACAGGACCATAAAAACAATGAGCAGGCATAATAAGAAATTAGGAGAGAGATTAAATCTATGGAAAGAATCATAACAAAGAACATTTCTTTGTATTCTAGCATCTGACACAGAGTTGCACAAATAAGCCAATCTTTGAAGAGTACTTTAAAAGTATGTAGATCTGAGTGAAAACAACAAACTCAGTGTCAAAGAGGAATGGACATATAATTAGTTTTAATAAATTTTACATTTCTTTAAATCACCTCTAAATAGAGATAATTTGTCACAACATAAAAATGGCAGTGCTAAGTACTAAGAATAGCACAGATTTGCAAACAAGTTCAAGCTTCCTCTCCTGTTACATAATAAAATGCAGTTAAGTAACAGCATGAACAATGGATTCCAAACTGGGTTGGAATCCCAGTTCCATCACTTACTAACTAGCTAACTAACTTGCCCACTGAGCTTGGGCAACCTACTTAAGTTCTCTGAACCCTGGTTTCTTCATCTGTAAAATGGGAATAACAATAACCATCATTTACGATTATTATGAGGTTTAAACAAGATAATGTGTGTAAAACATTATCAAAGTACACTACCAGGGTTTGCTAAATGGAGCCAATAAGAGTTATTATTGTTTCTGGCCATGCTTCAAAGCCAGGATAAGTTTGAGTAGTTAAGAGAAACACATTTCTCAAAAGGACCAAATTATATTGCTAGGCCCATTATAGAAACTCTTCTATTTAAAGTAATAAAGATTTCCTTCCATTTTATATGGAAAATTTAATAGGCAAGGAGGTTAACTGACTTTCCCAGAGGAATTAGTGGTAAAGAACTCTGGTTATCTGAATCCTGGTTCAATACATCTTTTCTATCAGAAAAGCACCCAGAATGTAATACCTAATTGTTCTTTTTTATTAATTCTACTTTAAAAAGTTTTGGACATATTTCAAGTAATCAATTTCTAAAGACAATCAGAAGACCCTTCTTTTTACTTTTAGTTCATATAAGAAAGAAAAATATTAGAAAAGAACATTAATTCTTTTATTTTAGTAGCCAGCATTTTTTTTAAAGATCTAGGAAAAGAGTATTTATTTAGAGAGCTTTTTTTTTTTAAATGTGAAAGCAACATATTATTCATGTTAGTTATGACCCTGTCTAAGAACATTTTTCGTACACAATGCAACCTATTTATGGTTAGACTTCACTTAAAACAGGTTCATCATAAAATCCAGAAGAACACTTTGTATGGTTTTTCTGGAAGAGAACAGCAAAAATTATTTAGAAAAATATTGACAGGAAGCTTGTGAATCTCTAAACAAGGTAGAAAAAGCTCAATCCAATGACACTAAATACCTTAGAAATTGAATCTACACCGCTAAAAATGCAATACCAAAAATGTGGGTGGCACTGATGCAGAGAATTCAATTCTCTATTTCCTTGAAGAAAAGGAACAGTACATGTACAATGACATAGGAATACTGCAATATTCAGTTCCCATAACAGCAAGATAGGTCTAACACATTACATTTAGAAACACCAGAACAATTTTCAATTTTCAACCCCCCAAAAAAGCTTTTATATAAAACAATAGTTATTCTAGAATCTCCCACTGCTTGACAAAATTAATTTCAGAAAGGTCAACTTACCAACTCTATTACTTCTACGTTTCGAACTGATGGGTCCGGCGCCACCTCTGGCCAATTAGATAATTCCAGGTAGCCGGTAGCTTTAGTGTTGAGAGTATGAGATAAAGTGCCAAGCTGGAAATGATCTCTATCTATTAAAAGAGAGGAAGATATAAAATAAACAATATGAGCTGTATATAACAGAGAACAATACTAATCAGAGCTCAAGGTAATTGGCATATTACCTCAAATGTCAAGGAATAAATATAAACTAGGAAACTCTTCATAGGTCAAAAAACTGATTTCAGTCCATAGATTACAATAATCTCTCCCATAATGGTCAATAAAAAAGCTAATCAGTCAGTGTGTTTAGAGGTGTTGCTCTGAAATGTAGCTTCTCTAAAAATTACTTTACTGTGAATATTAAGAATGACAGCACAGTTAAACAATCCATATACATGTCTTAGCACAAACACATCCAGAATTTTAATAGTTTTTCTACAAAACTGAACTGCTTTTTATCACCAGCAATTAAATAAGAAACAATATGAAAACCAAGGTATATAATTGTTTGATCCTAATTTTAATGGATTTGTTAAATTGATAAAATAATTACTCTTTCTAAAAAGCTGGGAAAAATAAGTCAACTTCCATCTTTGAAAAACAAATTTAAATATAAAGGGATATTTTTATGAAATAATTCTTCCTAGAAAAGTTTTGTTAGTATACATAGAATATTTAATTAGTAAAAACTCACTATTAAGGTAAAAATTAGACTCCTTATTAAATAAAGCTATTTAGAATAGAAATGAAGTCAATGTCTATTAGAACAACACAGCTTTAATCTACTATTCTAAGTAATCTAAACTGTTTAGTAAGAATAAAAATAAAATCAGGAGAATGAAATTATTTAGGTAAATAAGGTATATAAAAATATAAACTTTAATAGAAAGGTTGCTCTGGAGAACAGGTAAGTCAGTAGAAAGTATACTGTTTTTATACAATTATACAGGTTAATTATTTACATTTTTTAACAGATAAATTTTAAACATATTAGAAATGGGGCACATTGTCATAATTTTTTAGGTATGTATTTTGCAGCTGTATTCTGATAATACCTTTAAAAGGAGATTCAAGCAGTGGTGCAGGTTTTTGTGCTAGGAATATTTTTTTGGCATATTTACTTAAAGCTCCACTCTTCTCATTCGGAACAATAAGCTGCCTAATAAATCTTGTACGGTCTCTGATGTCGTAGTTTTGATCATACTTGCCGAGATTTAATATGTACTGGGTAAGCAATTTTGTCTGTTGGAAAAAAACAGAACAAGATGAGAATACAGTTATTTATGATTATTGATAACTCTGGATAAACATATTTAAACAGATAATAAAAATGAATGGTTATGTCAAACAAATGTTGTTCCGTAGGGAATATGCATTTCTAACGCTGCAAATGGAATTTTGAAGCCAAAGCACATGTCCTCTTCAGTATTGGGGAGGTGAATGCTGAGTACTGAGAAGCAGCCATGTGCTAGATTATTAAACTGCTGAAGTGGAAAGAAAGGCATCATTAAAAAAATAATCATATATGGCAAACCCACTGAAGGGTCTACGTGAGAATAATGAATGTGGAAATACAACTAAAAACATGGCACTCAAAACTTAATCGGAAAAATATGCAGGACATCAAAACATCAGAGAGTATTAGAGGGCTGGCAAACTGCTTCTCCTGAGGTGTGTTTTATGAAGAGATACTGTCCCTGGCATAAGCAGTGTCTGCACTCTGACTGCACTCAGTTACTTTACCCTGAATTATGACCCATTAAAGCAGACACATGAATCACTGAACTGGATTACTGCAAATTATTTGCAGTGCATTTAGCTGTTACTTTTTCATAAAAGCAAGCTGCTGATGCCCTCTAAAAACTAGGATAAAAGACTCCTTCCATTTTTTTCCCCATACTGCTTATAGCCTCTAGTAATATTGGTCATTTATTTATTTATGTAAGGCAGCAACTTATTATAGTAGCTTTTACACTGTAATAAGATTTCCAAAGTCAATTTTTGAACGTACTACATTAACATATATTGAGATAATTTTAATAGTAATTAAACCAAAATCGAAATGTTATCAAAATAGGTATTTTAAACTCCAGTTATTTTACTGAAAAAGCATAGCTTTAATTTAGGTTACACAAATACAATTGTAGCTAGAAATTAAATAGGATTCATAATACATGGAAAAAATAAACATCTATATTAGAACAATTTATAGACATTAGAAACGGACACAAAATAAAATCAATCAAGTCAGGCAGAGCTAAAGACAATTCTAGAACAATAAGTCAAAGTACACAAATGGTGTGGTAAACTCTTTTACAGTAATAATTGGTTAAGATAATTGATTTGGATAGAAAGCAACCTTCCTGCAGTAACAATGTATTTATAAAGCATTAACCTAGTTCCAATAAAATAGAACTATAAAAAATACAAGGGAAAAATGTTAATAGAGCTATTCTGAATTTGGTTACCAATAATTGCTATTCTCTAATTACTAGACTATGTTGGTTCAACTACAGATAAGAAAAATTCTATGATTCATTTTTAAAGACAATCAGCAAAATAGTCACCAAATGAGGAATGCAGCTCAAAACAAAGTGTGGTGTCCTGGACTAGGTTATTAGCTTTCTGAGACAGCCTGGGAAATATACTAACCACCAGTTTTCTCAAATGCACAGTGAGAATTTACAACCAGTGTAATTCTGAAGTCCATCTGAGTGTGGTGATTTAGAAGATGAAATTAAAATAAATCAGAGAAATAAAATAAGTCTGTTCATTACAATGATTTCCTAAAAATGTTAATTCCAGTATAGTTAACATACAGTGTTATATTAATTTCAGGTGTACGATATAGTGACTAAATGATTTTTTTTTGAGCTAGTGGAATGACATATTTAGCTTCTATTTGTGATCCGCAAAATTAATTTTTAGGAAATTAAACTATTTCAGTATACTAACAGACACTATCAAGAGTTAGGGAATTTTAAGCAATTAAAATTTTGTAATTTTTAAAGTATGCATTTATTTACTGTAAAACTTGTTTGATCATATTGGTGGGCTTATAAAAACAGTTCTATTAAACATCCATTTTCAAAATGAAAATTCTTTCTAAAAGATAAAAACCTATCTATGTATAATGATGCATTGAAAGTATAAGCGAATAATTATTCACCATACATTCATATACTTTAATCAGTTTCTTAGGAGTATCTACCTCTAGTACTGTCACTGATATTTCTCTGAAGAACATATTTTAATTTTTTTTAAATTTTTAAAAAATTTATTTATTTGACAGAGAGAGGCAGCCAAAGAGGGAACACAAGCAGAGGCAATGGGACAGGGAGAAGCAGGCCTCCAGCCGAGCAGGAAACCCGATGCGGGGCTTGATCCCAGGACCCCAGGATCATGACCCGAGCCGGAGGCAGAAGCTTAACGACTGAGCCACCCAGGCACCCCTGAAGAACATATTGTAATATGGTCTTATCTTGAACTTTTTTAAAAAATATAAGACTATCCACAATCCTTTCAAAACTGAATTTATGATCAATAATTATGAAATTCGAGACGTTTTCAACTTACTCTCTTCTTCTATAGACCATAATATTTTTAATGAAGAAAACACCCTCTTTACAGTATTAAACAATCTGGTAAGCATAAAGAAAATCCTGTTGATAGAACGATATTCTCATCATGCTTTCTTTCATGCTGGTATCTGTAAAGATATCAAGCCTAGATACTTAACTTTTACCCCTCCAATCTTTTTTTTGATAATTATTTTTATGAAACGAAACTTTAAGTTATTCTCTATTTATGCTTTTTAAAATATTTCACCAAATTTAGAAACTGCAAAATCAATTACCTTCTCAGTTTCATTTCACTCCAACACAAAATAGGAGCTCCATCAAAAAAGTCTTTATATTAGTTGAGATACTGCAAATGACAGAACTACAAAAATAAATCTTGAGGTCTTAACACTTAACTTGAAGGGATAAATTTCAGTAACTCCTTGCTTGCAAGATTTGTTTCCAAGAATTGCCATTTGCTAAAATTTTCAAAAGTCGAAGGTTTTTGGCACTCAATTTGGTAAACACTTTAAAGATTTCCAATTGATTCTGAATCAAAATCTAACAAAGAGAAGTTCTGCTTACTCCCATCCCCTCCCCTGGTTAAAAAAAAAAAAAAAAAAGAAAAGCCAACATAGGACACTTAGGTTAATTTACAAAACAGTTTTTCACAAAATCATGTTTCTAGGATCCAGGTGGTAACATGCAGCAAAAATGTTGTGTACAAGAGTGTAGGCTGTCATGCTTATGTATTTTTTTCAGTATTAGCTTCATGACAAGAATTCTGTAGTTCAATTAAACTATATATATCAAATATCAGTATATTTGGCCATTACAGTTTTATTTCAGTAGACAAACAGAGATGGTTTGCATGCACCACAACTAATTCTCAAAATGCTTCTTTGTTTTAATTTAATAAGAAATTGATTTTACCATGACAATACATTTTTAGCAAAACCAAGTAATTTTATCTTCCATGTTGACCTTTTAAATTTACAAGAGCATTTACAGCACTCTGACAGAATAAACTTTCAAAAGCTTTGCTTTGATTCCATTTATAGCACTGACAGAAAAAACATAAAAGCTTTGAGTGAAAAAAGTCAACCTATTATTGGAATTAATTGATTTTTTATTTGAAAACTAGCATTGTTTAGGTCCTTTTTCTGCTAATGGAGCCAATATATTAACAGTCACTGCTTCATTTTTCATATGTGCAAAAGAGAACTTGGAATATAAAATGAAGAAAATTAATTTTTAAAAAGTTATCTAAATGAGATCTTGTATCACAGAGAGATATGTAAACATCTTCTGTACCTGTATATATTTAATTGTGATCTTGAGACACAATCTTCTTAAAATAACTCTTAGGCTTTTTAAATAGATGCTGATGCTTTTTTTAGCAGACACATTTTATCTTTTGGTGGTTGTGTGGTCAGTGATATCACTGCAGTTCTCATAGTGGATGGTAAATACTGATAAACATTTTGTGCATATTAAGTACCGAGAAAGAAATTCAGTACTTCATTAAGTATACACTTCAATTTTTAAGAACTGATTGCTGCTGTGTTTATAACAAGATAAAGGAAAAACTACCAAATAATAATATAAATAGGCTTTAGATTTACACTGCACAATAAATAACAAAAGAACTGACCACTCTCTAATGATCTATGGCAGGACTGTCTCCTGCACGTATTTCATCTACAACCAACCCCAAACTTCCCATGTCTTCCTTTGACGCCATCCACTGACAGCTTGGGAGCTTCATGCTTTGCACAGACCATAGCACAACCTGCTGGTACAAGTTGCCAGCAGATGAAACACTTCCAACACTTATCTCACCACCATTGAGAAAAGGAAGCATTTAGTTTTTTCCTACTCGCCCTGTCAGGGCACACTTCATTTTACCAGCACACATTCTGAATGCTGCTCTAAAAGAGAAATTACTTATATCTCAAAAAGGTTGGAAAAAGTCTTTCTGCTTTAAATGTCTTACATATTTAAATGACATCTCTGTTCGTTGCACTTGTGTTTCCATGTCATTAGACAAAACCACAGCAGAGGTTAAAAGTACAATATGGAGGTCCACAAACTTTCTCTGTCCTACTTTAACACAACTATTAATGACAAAAATGAAAAATTTGGGGCAAATCCCAAACTGGATAGGACACAGAGACAACAGACATATATTAAGTCTGTCCTGGGCAACAATGACAAAGAAAGTAAACAATGGTCAAGTAAATAATCACGGGCATTTTAATATAACCAAAGACTCAATCTAAAACCAGATGGGACATTAAATAGTACTTTTAAATAGGTTTTACTCATAAAATTATAAAAGACAAAGAGAATACAATGTACCTAAATAACAGAAACATTAATATCTTATATAACTGTTTGTTAAATTTTGATTTCAGATTATTTTTTTCTTCTTAAATTTAAAAGATTATGACTGGTATCACCTAACAGCTAATGCTACCCAGACACTCCACCAATTACATTCCTTTCAGACTGACTCTAAGTCACTGGGACATAGGAAAATGAATTTCGGGGAATGCTACATAAAAATTTTTAAATTCATTATTTAAAAAAACTTCTCAAAATATGGGCATATTTCTACGTAAACACTCTTGACAAGTAATAAACTGGTACATTATTTGCTCAAACCAGAGCGTTCTTCAA